CTGATAATCGAGGCACCTCCGTCAGCCCCGTGTTTCTATGAAATCTGGCTCAGTTGATGACTCCTCGGGGATTCTGTCCTTAGTATATCCTTCGATTGTTGCAAGGTGGGTTGCGCCTTAGGGAGTTCCTTCTATCTTTGGTGTATGGTTAATATCTTTTTTTGTTTGGCTTTGGCTCCTTCGCCAAGAGCCTGCTTGGGTATACTAAGCCTGAGGGAGCCAGCTGGTCATCTTCGACCCTGATTTTTGACTATTATTGGTTGTGGACATCCGACTAGGTTACGACGGAATATTCCACCAGATTCTCTTTCAGCTGCCTTGAAGCCACCGAGCTTCGCTCGTTCAGACCTTGAGTGAAGGCCTGCACCGCCCAGTCATCAGAGATCGATGGTATTTCCATTCGTTTCGTTTGAAAGCGGGATACGAATTCTCGCAGCATCTCGTTCTCCCTTTGCTTGATCTTGTAGACATCAGATTTCCTCATTGCTACTTTGATGGCACCAGCGTATGCTTTTTTAAAGGAGTTTGCTAGCATGGAAAATGAGTCTATGGAGTTAGGAGCTAGGTTGTGATACCACATCATGGCCCCCTTCGAGAGTGTTTCCCCGAACTTCTTCAGTAAAACGGACTCGATCTCGCCGTCTTTTATGTCGTTGCCCTTCACTGCACAAGTGTAAGCAGTAACGTGCTCATTGGGGTCTGAGGTCCCGTTGTATTTTTGGAGTTCTGACATTTTGAACTTCTTTGGAATGGGTTTTGGGGCCGCTTCCTCTGGGAACGACTTTGGTATGAACTTTTTAGAATCCACACCTTTCAGGACCGGGGGTGCGCCTGGAATTTGGTCGACCCTGGAGTTGTAGGTCTCGAACTTCTTGTCGTTGGCTTCTATCATTTTCTCGCCTGATTCAATTCTGGGGAGGTCCTCGAGCATTTGTATGATGGCAGGATCGGTCATCGACCCGTTATTGCTCGATCTCTCCGGTACCTGTTCGGCTAGGAGAGCTATCCCCAGTGCTATCGTGCTGGGAGTTTTTTGGTGACTTTGCAGCTGAGCAATAGCTAGTTGTTGTGCCTGCAATATTTCAAAAATAACATAAAGGCTAACCTCACGCTCTTCCCTGGTCGGGGTTTTCTGAGCTTCTTGTAGATCTCCCTAATGCAGTCTCCTATTGGTATGCGAGCTTATATCGATGCGTTGGGCATCACGTGAGACCGCGTCCACGGGGATTGGTTCTGGCGCATTCCTAGGGTTTTGTTGTGGCACACCAACACCTGGAACATCTACTCCATTCTCTCAGTGTTCCTCAAGATTGTTGTTTTCTCCTCCATTCACTAAGTTAGACATTTTGACCTAAAATCGAAGATCTTGGACAAGAAAAAGCGTGAAAGATAACTTGTGTTGTGTGACAAAACCAGCAAGAAAATAACCACTATTATTTTAAGCTCCGCGGTGGGTGCCAGACTGTTTACCATGAAAATGGTAATAACAATTATATTTGATTATGGGACTCTAAAAATACGTGCTCTATTTTTATGCTAGCTGTTAAGAAGTTGATGCTATGTATGTGAGACTTAGAAACAAAATAAGAGTAAGGAACGAAATGATAACCAAACCGATAGGTTAATTATCGGGGCCTCGAGTTTTTTGATTTGTGGCCTCGAGGTTGATTCCGGAGCTCGGCAGGGAGCTATCGAAGATGGTGGAAGTATGGCTAACAACTATAGTAGAATCAATGGAGGCTCTTTATGGCCAATTATAAGCAATAAATGAAGAATAATAATGAACATAATAAATGAGAGAAATAGTATCAAGAGAATATGTTAGAGAGCAAAAGAGAATTTTCTTGTATATTTCGTGTGGAGCAACTGAAGCAACAGAACATTACAAAGTGACAAGGATCCCTTTATATAGGAGGGGAATCCCAACATAGTACAAAATACATTAATGATAAAGGAATGAGGATGGGACAGCTAGATGATATCCTGATCAAGGGTTAGGGCAGTCCCCTAGGCCCTGTTATTCCTAGCCACGTGCCTTGGGAACTCCCCATTTCTACTGTGGTCGAGGTCAACGTTGTCCCTAGATCGGGACTCGATGAACCTTGAGGGAGGAAACTTGATCATAACCTTATAGCCTTGAGACTTTAATATGGTTTTCTGAGGCGCCTCGATGAGGAGAAATTGGGCTCTCCGATTTTACCGTATATAAAGTGCAACCTTGGAATTGGATCTAAAGTTCTTCTATCTCTTCAATGCAACTTCAGAACTTTGTGTAGCCTCTTTATAGTTCTTTAGGTCATCATCATTATGATCAACCGCATTTGATATATCATCTTGTAACATTAGATTTAATCTAGTTGGTACATGATGTTCTCGTGTAGACCTTGTTATAAACTAAGCGTCCACCAAACTATATAGAGAACTAGATTCTTTATAAGTTCTCACTATAAGCAACAGACTTTAAAACCAACTAGTATAGGAAATTAGGTTCTCTAATTGTTCCCATAGTAGCTCGACAGTAAATAAAGAACACAGAGGATTTTTACCTGGAAAAATCCCAACTCAAGGGGACAAAAACCATGACCTATTACAAGCCACTTTCTAATAACTCTATTACAAAGGATTCAACTCAACTAACTTGTGGTACTCTAACCACAAGCCACTTTGTCACTCTCTAGTTACAAAAACTTTAACTAACTTGTGATACTCACACCAAAAACCACTTTGTCACTCTCTAGTTACAAAGATTTTAATCACTCTAACTTGTAATAAAAGTATTACAAGACACTTTGTAATAACTCTATTATAAAGGCTTCACAACTCGACTAACTCTAGCCAAGACACAAACACAAGGGTTTATGATTTACAAAAGGGTTTCCTACACAATCTTCTAACTAAGCTAAGTAGGAGTTACAAATGAAGAACAAATAACAAAGACTCAACAAACCTAAGGACTTAAGATATCTTCAATCTTGGATCTGGTCCTTGAGGTTGCAACAACTTTGTTCTTGAGAGAGGCTGTGGCAACCACTTGAGAGAATATCTTTTTTTGATTTTGCAAGTGTTCAAGAGAATGTTTTGTGCCTTGCACCACGTTTATACTACAAAATACATCACCATGGTGATGTCAATTCACAATGGTGATGTCAATTCTTGGTTAGTACATGCCTCTTCCCAATAGGAAGTGACTGCTGCACTGCCTACTGTGTCGCGTGTATTGTTGCAGGTAGTCACTTTCTACAGTTGCTTTCTAACAGCATAGTTGACTTATACTTCTGTCGGGGGAACATCAAGGGATCAAGTCCCTAATCTGGTTCTTGTGAATCTAAAAGCACACTTCCCAGATTATCTTGAGTCGATTAACTTGAATGATTGTACCATGCATGTTTCAGGTCTTTTATCTGGTTCTCTGATGAAGTAAGTTGTTTTACCTTCCTTGATTGTATATATGCGTTTGTGACATCACTTACAATGATGTAAGCAAGGTAGGTAAAAATCCTTACACATAAAGTTGACTACTGCATTGTTCCTATGCAGTAGCGTGTGCAGGCAGCAACTTTCCTGCTGGAGAGTTGACTTCATACCGTCTCCTCGGGAACTAGTAGGGACCTGTTCCCTCAGCTGTTCCTTCCATTCTGAAGAGATGAGTTATATCTCATGTTGTATCCCAACCTGGAACTTTGTGATTTCAAGGTCTTGTAAATGTGTAACAGGTTCCTTATCTGGTTCTGGATGGTAAGTTTGTTAGATCATAAAAACATAAAGTAATGTACTTATGCCCATGGTACTTGTAACCTATCAATTTTCCCCTTTTTGGATGATGAAAAACTTAGAATTGATATTCCCCCTGAGAACCAGATCTCCACATTGTTCCCCCTACGAATCCGCCATATTCCCCATGAGAACCAAACCTAAGGAGCTGATCACAACTGCTTCCTCAAGACTGTTTGGCAAATCATCAAAACTCAAAGTACCATAACTTATTAGACCTTCTAAGAGGTACTTGTACAACCTATTCACCTTGTGTTGGATTTGGTTGTTGTTTAATTTGGTTTGAAACTGGTTCATTAAACTGTTCTTGAACTACATTTAGTTTTTGAACTTCAACCATTGAAGATGGCAACTTCCTTGGAAACTTCAAAATACCTAATAAATGTTCTTCAACTAGGATCTCATTATCTTTATTTTGTGTTGATTCATTAGTTTCTTGAACTTTATTAAGTTCTATTTTTCCACTATAATTTCCTTCCAAAAGAAATTCCTTTCCCAAAAAGGTTGCTCCTCTAGCCACAAACACTTTATAGTCAGAAGGGTGATAGAAATAATATCCCATTGTTTCTTTCAAATACCCAATGAACCTACACTTATCAGATCTTGAGTCAAGTTTATCAGAATGCAGTCTCTTAACATAAGCTAGACAATCCCAAACTTTAATATGTTTAAGGTTAGGCTTACATCCTTTCCATATCTCATATGGTGTTGAAGAGACTGACTTAGAGGGAACTTTATTAAGTAAGTATGTTTCTGCTTCCAAAGCATATCCCCAAAAATTTATTGAAAGATCAGTGAACCCCATCATAGTTCTCACCATATCTAATAACGTTTGATTTCTCCTTTCAGACACACCATTATGTTGTGGTGTTCCTGGAGGTGTCCACTGTGAGAGAATCTCATTCTCATTGAGATACCTAGTAAAATCTTCACTAAGATATTCCCTACCTCTATCATACCTTAGTACTTTGATACTTTCAACAGTCTATTTCTCAACTTCACTACGGAATCTTTTGAACATTTCAAAAGATTCAGACTTATGTTTCATAAGATACACAAATCTGTATCTTGACATATCATAGAGCAGGTTCTTTCTATCAGGTTAACATCTAGAAAGGATCCTCATGGATGCTCCTCCAAACTTTGAAAAAGGCCAGTCTACTTACAGACCACCTAGGTTCAATTAATAGTATTATGGATGGTGGAAAACTAGAATGCATGACTTCATCATGGCTAAAGATTCTGAGCTATGGAATTTCATATGTGATGGACCATTTGTTCCTACCAAAAACCTTGGTAACCCACTAGTAGCCATTCCCAAGACAAGGAAAGAACTAAACAATGCAGATAGAAAGGCCATAGAGAAGAACTTTTGTGCTAAGAAAATTCTGGTGTGTGGTATTGGACCGGATGAATACAATAGGATATTAGCATGTCACTCAGCCAAAGAAATCTGGGAAGCCCTGCAGATAGCTCATGAAGGAACAACACAGGTCAAGCAATCCAAAATCTGCATGCTCACAACTGAATACGAGCTCTTCAGGATGCAAGACGATGAATCTATCCAAGAAATGCATACTCGGTTCACCTCCATCATTAATGAGCTTCACTCCCTTGGTGAAACTATTCCAAGAAACAAGCTGGTTAGAAAGATCCTAACCGTGCTACCCAGTTCTTAGGAAAGCAAAGTGAATGACATTATAGAGGCGACTGACTTGCAGGAGCTAACTATTGATGAGCTTGTTGGTAATCTAAAAACATATGAAATGAAAAAGAAGAAGAAGAAGAAGAAGAAGAAGAAGAAGAAGAAGAAGAAGAAGAAGAAGAAGAAGAAGAAGAAGAAGAAGAAGAAGAAGGAGAAGGACAGTGAAAGAAGAGAGCCTAAGAAGGAGAAGAACCTGGTCCTCAAAATAGAAAACAACGAGTCAAGTGGTGAAGATTGTGATATGACATACCTAACAAGAAGATTCCAGAAGATAGTTCATAGGAATGGAGGCATTCCAAAAAGGGGAAGTTCTAGAAAGCTAAAGAATTATGACCTTTGTCATAAATGTGGCAGAGCCAGGACATTTTGTCAAGGATTTTCCTCTCCTAAAGAAGGATCAGTACAAGAACAACTCTGACAAAGCAGCCAAAAGGAACATGTTCCTGACAGATGCTTCAATAAAAAATACGCCACTGACAATATCATGAGACAAGCTCTTGCTGCATGGGGAGATTCATCAAGCGAATCTAGAGAAGATGATGAATCAGGTAACAATTCTATGATGGCAGTAGAAAGTGAATCAACAGAGTATGATTCAATTTTTGCTTTGATGGCCCATTCTAATGATGAAGATGAAAATGATGATGATGTAAATTTTCTGGATGTTCAAAAAAAATTTGAAATCTTATTCTCCTAAGAAACTCATGTCTTTGGAAAATGTGCTAATCAACACTTATCATAGTCTTATAAATGACAGAGATGTCTTAACAGTTGAACTAGGAGAAGCAGAATAGTCTAGAGATGACCTAGTAATAGTTGTAGTTGATCTAAGAGAGTCAATTAAGAACTTGAAGAAAGAAAGAAATGTCTTAAATAAAAGGATTGAAAATGTATAACAAGAAAAAGATAACCTTATAATGGTAGTAATGGACATGAAAGAGACCATTGGGAAACTTACAATGGAAAGTAAGGCAGAAAATTATCAAAAAGGAAAGGAAGTTGCAAGCGAGGCACATATTAAGCTTGATAATGAGATAAAGTCAGTGCAATTTAGTCTGTGTGCTGAGCTTGAGAAAAACAAACAACTTCAGGAAGAACTACGTAGAGTGAAGTGTGATCTTGAAAAATCACTCAAGTTGACCTAGTCCTCTGATGCGATCACTACCATGTACTCCAACAATGGGGGAAACAGGCAGGGGATTGGGTTTCAAAGGGAAAAGATCCCTTACAACCCTCATAGCAAGTACGTTACTGTACCTAACAATTGGCTTTGCACCCACTGCGGTAACAATGGGAACCTTAAAGAAAACTGTAAGGCAGATGTTAGTCACGGTAGAAAAATAAAGCCTTTGCTGAAAAAGTAACTACTAGTAGAGAACTTTGTCCCTCATTTAAAAAAAGCACAATGCCTGCATGGACCAAAAGATCCCTTATTCACCCCTTTCCTCATTACAAGGGACCCAAATTGGCTTGGGTTCCTAAAGCTAACTTCTAATATTCTTGTGCAGGAAACAATGAAAGGAAGCAGTCTGCAATACTACATGGATAGTGGCTGCTCAAAGCATATGACTGGAAGCACAAATAATTTCCTATCACTAAAGGCCCTACAAGGAGGGAGTGTATACTTTGGGAATGGCATTAAGGAGGAAGATAATGGCTCTTCATGTGATCTCAGGAGAGGTGAGTTTCTACATTGATCAAGATGAAGAGCCATTATCTGTGCCATATGAAGTAATTGACATGGCAAATGGAAAGGCAAACATAATGATACATGTCAAGGAATCCTGTGAAGAAGATGCAAATGCATCTCCATCGATTTGAGAGGAACCTGGTCCCCCAATTATAACTACTAAAGCTGAAAATAGAGTTGTTGATGCAGTCCAAGGAACACCACTCTATGAAGTAAGAAGTGCTCAAGAATCCCAGTCAGATATACCTGGTTCCTCTACCAATGAGACTCAGGCACCAAATTGGGTTCAAAAGTTCACATCCTCTTGACAACATAATCACTCCTCTTGACTCAAGAGTTCAAACCAGATCAAAATCAAGAAACCCACTTGCCTTCTCAACTTTTCTTTCCCAGATAGATCCCAAAAATATAAAAGAAGCGCTAAAAGATGCAGACTGGATCATAGCTATGTAAGAGGAGCTGCATCAATTTGAAAGGAACAAGGTATAACACCTAGTTCCTCAACCTGTTGATCGAACCATTATAGGAACCAAGTGGGTATTCGGAAACAAACTTGATGAGTTTGGAAATACAATCAGAAACAAGGCAAGGCTTGTGGTTCAAGGCTATAATCAGGAAGAAGGGATTGAATATGATAAAACATTGCCCATGTAGCTTGAATGGAAACCATTAGAATTCTGACTGCCTTTGCATCTCATATGGAGTTCACTATGTTCCAAATGGATGTCAAAAGTGCATTTCTAAATGGCTATCTAAAGGAAGAAGTCTATGTCAAGCATCCTTCTGGATTTGAGTGTCACAAACACCCTGATCATGTGTTTAAACTAGATAAGGCATTGTACGGGTTAAAACATGCTCCCAGGGTTTGGTATGAAAGGCTGTCAAAATTCCTTCTAAAAAATGGATTTGCAAGAGGGAAGATTGACAACACTCTTTTCCTAAAGAAATGAGGGAGGAACCTACTCATTGTTCAGGTGTATGTCGATGATATCATCTTTGGAGCCACAACTGACTCTCTCTGCGAAAAATTTGCTAAACATATGGGGAGTAAATTTGAGATGAGTATGATGGGATACTGAATTTCTGCCTAGACTTCAAGTGAACAATCTAAGAAGGGAACATTGATAAGTCAGCAAAAGTACATCAAGGAGCTGCTGAAAAGGTTTGATATAGAAGCCTCAAAAGTTATCGACATGCCTATTACAACAACTACTCGTCTAGACATGGATGAACCTGGTTCCCCTATAAACCAGACCATGTATAGAGGGATCACGGGGTCACTATTGTATCTCACTTCAAGCAGACCAGACATTATTTTTAGCGTGGGTCTCTTGCAAGGTTTCAATCAAATCCAAAGGAATCTCATTTGAAGGCTGCCAAGAGAATACTGAGATATCTCAAAGGAACACAGGACGTGGTCCTCTATTATCCTTCAGGAGACAGCTTTGATCTTATTGGGTATGCTGATGCTTTATGCTGGATATCTGGTGGATAGGAAAAGGATGTCTGGGAAGGCACACTTCTCGGGTTCTTGCTTAATCTCATGGGGTACAAGGAAGCTGAATTTTGTGGCACTTTCAACTGCAGAAGTTGAATATGTAGTAGTTGCCACTTGTTGTGCTAATCTTTTGTGGATCAAGCAAAAATTGGAAGATTTTGGAGTATTTTCAATTTATCTGCCTCTTTTATGTGATAATACTAGTGCACTCAACATGGCAAAAAATCTAGTTCAACATAAGAGGACAAAGCACATTTATGTATGTCACCATTTCCTTAGAGATAATGTTGAGAAAGGGCTTATATGGATGAAATTCTGTAGCACTGAAGAACAAATTGCAGATATATTTACCAAAGCCCTAAGCAGAAAACACTTTGAGCAAATCGTCTGGCATTGGGGTTGATAAAACCCAATTAAGAGCCTGGTCCCTCAATGATTGGCTATGAAAGAAAGGTTCAGGTAAACTTAGCTAAAAGGTGTTTTCTAGCAAAGTCTAACTCATCTCTATACCATTATAGGTAGACACGTTTGATGATTATAGAGCAAATAAGCATTTGAAGTTGTACACACCGGTAAAAAGGGCAAAGATTACAAACAAGAGATCAGTCAGGGAACTTGGTTCTCTTGACATAGGTTAGTAGTTTCTATGTTCTCTCATGCAAAATTCTGAACAATGAAAACAAGTGTCACATCATCAACATGTCATCTTTAGGTTTGCGTCTTTAAACCCAAATGCCTCACCAGTTATAGATCGACCCATCTCCCTAAAACTTGCCGCCCTTTTTCTAACCAATTCCTCTGTCATCATAAATACATCTATCTCTGTCACCACACTTCACACATCAACACTTCCAAATATGTTCCCTATTCACTCTCTCTTCGGGTCAACAAATTTTCTCCTCGTCTCACCATGGCTGAGGATCAAAGGATCTCTAGTACTATCAAGTCCTCACCAGTCGAAACACCAGCACTAGTCTATCCTCCTCACACTACTGATAACTAAAACCCTAGAACAGAGTCAACCCCACACTCCATCTCCTTTCCTACATATTCGAGTTCTTTCTCTCCCAAGAGTCACCAAGCATCAACTCTCCCACGACGTGTTGCCCAGAGCTCATCTCTTACCTCACCAAAAAAGAGGGATGTCACAAATATTGGTAAGAATGAAGAAAATTTAAAAATCTCAAGTTCTCCAATAGAAGAAAAGTCAAAAGTAGACCAGGTTGAGGGAAATAATAGAGACTGCTCTCGAACCCCAGTCCACAGGTGCCTCTCCTATTTCTCTTGAACTTCTCATGAATTTGCAAGAAAAGGAAGCAGTCAAAAATATTTTGCTCATTGCCAATAAAGGGGGTTTTGTCAGAGGAAGTGAGGATGGTCTAAAGACTTGAGGGGAAGCATCTAAGCCCGTTGAGAAGGATAGTGAGTGTGTGCCTATTTATCCTTCATCACATGAAGGTACTACTGGGGAACCTGTTGGAGGACCTAATATGCCTTCGGAGGATCCAACTCAAGGTTCTACTCAGGAACCCCAAGTCAGTACTGACCCTGCTCCCTCTACTCATTTATATGTTAAGCCTTTAAGTGTAATCATGCTTGAGACATGTCCTACATCTGAAAATCAAAAGGAGGATAGTGAAGAAGACTATGATGACTTACCAATCGTCAATCTTCCTAGGCGTAGAAACGTTGTTGGTGAAATGCCCACGCCTAAGCGACCCACAACAAGGTTGCAAAAGAAGGAGGCTCTTGAGTTTGCTCTTAAGAACAGTCAGACTAAATCAAGGAGGAAAACAATTAGTGAAAGATGGCAAAAGGTGTAAATGAGAAGTTAGTTCCAGTTTTGAGTGTGGATGAAGAGGAAGCGGAGGAACCTAGTATGTTGACTAGAAAGTTGTCAAAAAAGCATGGTCTTCTCAAACCAAAATGGAGATCTTCTATGTCTTTGAAACGTCGGACTAGGCTTGTTGATGCTGCTGCTACTAAGAATGTGGAGAAAGACTCAGGTGAAAAATCTATGAAGCTTGATAAAAAGAAGAAAGGTGTCCACACGAATGCTAAGAGAAAGGTTAATACTGTTGATGAACTTGGTTCCTCAAAGAAGGCCAAGGCTGATGATCCGGGGAGTGCTTGAAAAGAAAGATTAAGAAGTGAAAAGGTACTCTAGGGGCGTACATTCACCTCTGATGTCTTAGAGGAGGCTGGTATGAGATAGTTGGTTGATATATGTGATTTCCAACAATGGACACACTTATTCACAAGTGATGCTACTAGGGTATATGAGGAGGGAGTTCAAAGCT